TCCTATGGAGACAAAGTGCTTTGGGTTACAAGATAAGGCCTACTTCTGTCTTTCTTGCCCAAGACAAACACAATCACATCCTGTGGGTAGTTGCTACAAAAATGGTACCAGTTTCTAGGGTTACTTGGTGGGGAGGATGACAGAACTCAGCCTAGAAGTTTTTAACTAAAATTCAGAGTGTAACCCTCATGACTTCACAGAGACAGACTCGAGGTTCCTGAGTCATTATAGTTGACTTTCTGAATGGCGTTGGAAAGCCTTCAAGCAGATGCTCTACATATGGCTACAGCCATATTTGGATGTATCCTCTGATACTGAAGAAGCAGCTGGGTCAGCCAGCTCCTGGAACACCTAAAAACAAAGCCTGTTGGGGGCTGAGCGTGTCTGCAATGAGAGTGAGAAGCTTGAACTGTGGGTGACTCACAACAGCTCGTGTTAAAATGAGCTAACAAAGGGCCATAGTGGACATGTCTTCAATCTGTGTATCATTTTTACATAAAAAGAGTTAAAATGTTCCATTAAGTGTTAGTGTTTCTTGATTTAAGGGTGAAATTCCTAAGGAATGGTATCCGTGATAAAATTGAGTCTATTCTGATTTCAGTGATTAGGTTTAAATCCCAAAGAAAATATCTGAGATGACATAATTGAATGCTCACAAACATGACCATAAAGCTAATAACCTACTGATGTCATTTTTTCATTTTAGTTGGATGGAGCTATAGATCTTTCCACAAAAAAAATATTAAAAATAAAAGGACAAAATTATTTAGCTTTTTTACCCTCAGGTCAGGATTTTTGTTTTACAGAACGTGGTAAATTGATTCAATAATTTGAGTCATCAGACAAAAGATCATTCACTAAGTGCCAAAAAATCTGATTTTCTTATATATATATATCAATATATATACAGAAATCAGAGATTAATTTCTGTCCTATGAGCTAGAAGCAGAATTGCACTGCATAGCCTCGATATTTGTCTGATCATTTTGGAGGGTGGATGTTTTAAATGGATGTTGGTATTTGATGCATTTGTTGGTCCTTCAGATGGCAGGCATAGAGGATTAAAACAGATTACCACATGAGTGTTTCTATAGATTATTAAATTTTATATTCTTTTTGTCTGATTTAGAAAAAAAAAAAGAATTTCACAAAAAAAAAATAGTATTAAACTAACTTTAAACTGTGGTTTAGCAAACTAAGGCTCAGAAAATTAATATCTAAGGTTGAAATCCCATCCTGTTATATCCCATTATTTCTTTTCTGATGTATTTACTGATGTGGGTGTGCATGCTGACTCCCCATTCACCCCCTCAGAAAAGGCCATATAGCACCTTCCTAAGCTCTAGGGTCCTTGGCAGATGTTCCAGAACAGTCATCTGCACTGAAAAATTAATCAGCAGCTAGTTTTCAACCCCCCCAGTCCAGAAATCAAGAAATTAAATTAAAAATAGGTGCCAAATCCTCCACACCACCTTACCCAGCAATACCAGTCCCCTGTTCCCCTTCAGCCAGGGGAGGACAACGGCCCCTGCAGTGTCACACAGAAGTGACTTGGCCCCTTCCAGAAAAAAGTAAGGGAGTTAGGCACAGCATCCAAGGGCCCCTTGGAGAACACTTGCCACCTCAGTAGCCACCCCAGGCAAATCAGTGCTGGATGTTGAAGCCTCTGTGTACTACAGCTGCAGCAATGCTGGACATGTGCCATTGACTATGGGATATTATTCCCCATCTGGAAGTGGGTGTCATTCATGCAACATTCATCA